TATGTGTGTGTTTGTGTGTGATGAAATATAGTTTTAAGTTATGCTATAGTCATTAATTAAAGTGCTCACAATCAGGAATAGAGCGTATGTAAATATATAAGTGGGAATTGAAGCTCAGCAACCAGCCTGAAGATTGCATAAATGCATGAAGCAGGCTGTCACTGTTAGGTGTTGACCTTTTGCATTTGTTTACTCTTTCTGATATCATTATGGGCATAAAAATCGCATTTCTTGTTCCAGTGCCTTTAACAATCCCGTACTGTTCTTGTCCTATTTCCCATCTGAGTCCTCTGCGCAAAAAGATGCCTCCCCAAAATTAAGCAAAGTATTAAGAAACAGGAAAATTTCTTTAGAAAGACTGCTCAACTACTAGTTAATATTAATTCTCGCATATAGCAGAGAATACTGACCAATAGATGGATTAACTAGTATAGAATTATCTGTTATTTTTCCTGTTGTAACCGTCTACCTTGTGTGGCTCTTGATTCTACAGAAGGATGCTGAAAATGCCAAGGGTAAGTTTTAAGGTCAGTGGCAACGAAAAAGACACATACTTCAAATCTGAAAGGGAGTTTAAATTTCTGGGACACATAATGATGAAAGAAGGTGTAATAAATTCGGCATTCGCAAGAGATATTTAAGCACAAGATTCATTGAATGATTGATTCGTTTTTTTTTGTTTTTTTTTTGTAAATTCAGAAAATACTATTAGATAGTTAGAATATTTCGGGAAATAATAATGGTATAGTGATGAAAGTCTTACTAATTAACCCATATCTGGGGAGAAGATGTAGATTCATACCTTCTACAATGCTATCTGTACGAAAGTGAGCAAAATGAACTCAACTGGAATTGAAACTCGGCTCTCCTATTAACAATTCCGAGCCATTATCCATTACACCACTCACACTTGCAGGCTTTCAGAACCTGGGAATCCCAAGCGGTCACCACTCAAGGTACTGACCAGGCTCAACTTTGCTTAACTTGTGTGACCGTAAAGGGCAAAAGGGCCAGAACAAACCAGCGAGGAATCTGCCTAGCGAACTTGTGTAAATTAACCTTTAACATTCTAAAATTTAATCCTACCACTGCATGTTTGAATTTTGCAGTTGTGTTGTCATATCCTGCTATGGCAACAGAAAATGACCATGACTGAAATTAAGCAGTATAGTAGAGGAACCTTGAAAATCAGCGCAGTAGAAAGGAAAGTAGTGAATAATACAGTGTATTAAATGTTAATGACAAAACAGAATTGGAAGGTTAGTAAAAAGACTAATATTGTTAAGAGATACATAGGAGAGGAAGTTGTGAAGAGCCATGTATAGGGTATTTCTTGAAGATTAAGTTAGCAAAATAAATCATTGTGCAAATTAATTGAAACAAAAGCTTCAGTTTCCTTTCTTTCACCATACGGTCAGTTTTAGACCCACTGGAGTGAGAGGGTTTAATCGATTTCTATTTTTCCGCAGATTAGGTCATTTGCAGCAGTGTGCAGTAATATGAATCTATTTTCGAGGTGTCTGATTAAATTTGTTTGACATTGAAAAATGTTACATCATCCGTGATTGCATAAGATTTTTATCACGCCCAAACACTATTGTCTCGACTGTCGATTAGTTGTCCTACGGCTATTGTCGGCGATGGACATTACTCCAACGAGGCGTACGAAAATTGTAACGCTGCACGAACACACTGGCAAACCTTACCAGTGGGCAAATCAAACTACTATAGACTGATTGGGAAACTGCCCTGATTTAAATCCAATCGAGAATCTGTGGTCATTTTGTAATGAGCGATTTCGTAGAATGGACATACATAGTACTAAGATGTGCACTCGATCATGGAAAAATACGAAACGAAACAGTAATAACAGAATTATTCGTTTTGTTTTAATTAATTAAAAAAAACAACAAAAAAAAACTTTCAGACAATCGTCTTCGGTAGGGATTCAATGGACATTTAAAAAACTTCATTTATTCTAGGCTATAATAATAAAAAGAAAAACAAGCTTGCGATGAGGTTTGGTTGGGTTATTTTCGACAAGATTTTTTTAATAACGGCATAACTTCAATGGTAATAATTTTACAAAATGTATTGCTGTATTTAAAACCTATTTTTTTTTGGGTTTTGAGCCCTGGTAATAATTATTCAAAATTTTATAAAAACCATTTTACAATATTTTTCTGATATATTGCTAGTAATAATTATTCATAAAATGTATTGCTGGTAAAAAATTTTTACTTTATTTCAGTTTGGTAATAATTTTATTCATAAAAATGTATTGCTGGTATTAAAACCTATTTTTACACTTTCATAGGGTTTTTTGGGTAATAATTATTTGTATTGCCCATTTTTTGGGTTTTGTGAGTATATTGCTAGTAATAATTATTCATAAAAATGTATTGCTGGTATTAAAACCTATTTTTACACTTTCATAGGGTTTTGAGCCCAGTTTGGGGGTGAGTATATTGCTAGTAATAATTATTCATAAAAATGTATTGCTGGTATTAAAACCTATTTTTACACTTTCAAAATATATTGCTAGTAATAATTATTCATAAAATGTATTGCTGGTATTAAAACCTATTTTTACACTTTCATGATGTAATATTTTTAATTTTCAAAATGTATTGCAAAAATGATGATTTTTCCTTAAAACATGGCTGGTAATAATTTTTCCTCAAAAATTCATTGCTGAGATTACGCTTTCACAGTGCTTTGACATTAGTTTGGTGGTTAACTATTTGCTCATAGTTGGGACCCTAACAAGTGCTACCACCTCACGTCAAAATGAACATGGGAACACTAGCAATTAAGAGGTGGTTTCACGTTCTTCAAATCCTCCTGATCAGAGGCCTTGCTGTTGGGCGTAGTTTATCGTCTTACCCAGGACGCGGATGTAGTTTATCATTATACCCAGGACGCAGATGTAGTTTGTCGTCATACTCTGAACACGGATGTAGTTTATCGTCTTACCCAAGACGCAGATATAGTTTTAATGTCTTACCCAGGACGCGGTTGTAGTTTATCGTCATACTCAGGACGCAGATATAGTTTATTGTCTTACCCAGGACGCGGATGTAGTTTCTCATTACACCCAGGAGGTGGATATAGTTTATCGTCTTACCCAGAACGCGGATGTAGTTTATCGTCTTACCCAGGACGCGGTTGTAGTTTATCGTCATACTCAGGACGCAGATGTAGTTTATTGTCTTATCCAGGACGCGGATGTAGTTTCTCATTACACCCAGGACGCGGTTGTAGTTTGTCTACATACCCAGAACGCGGATATAGTTTATCGTTTTACCCTAGACGCGGACGTAGTTTATCCTCATACACAGGACGCAGATGTAGTTTGTCGTCATACTCAGGACGGTAAGCGTTGAGGATCGAACTAGCGAACTAATAAAAAAGACAAGCGCGTTAAACACCGCATTATCGGAAGGTTCCTATTTACGTTTGAAAAGAAATAATTGAGACAATCCTGGGACATACTGAAGAATAATGAACAATATTTCGCTTGTTTTTTTTGTTTTTTTTTTAAATGCCTTTGGTTTTCTTTTATATTCTTGTTTCTCTAGCGACAGAAAATTGTTTTAATTTGCTGTCCGAGCAAGATGACACACCAAGATGGCGCATATCACCAGAGCAATTAGTCTGGCAACCATTACTTCCACCGTAATAGGCTTTTAAAATATTTCTATTGGAAACATTTCGTTGGCTGCGTTGTTAGCGGGATGTACGCGGCGTTGGGTTGATTGAGTGGCCACGGTTATGGAAATGGAAAAATATTTACATATGGCGCGTGAAATGTCGGATTTTATTATAAAAAACAAAACAAAACACGCAAACTGCCTCGATAATAAGTCTGATCAGTTCGAAAAGCTGAAATTGTCAGGTGATTTTAAAAAATGGCATACAGTTTGTTGTTTACTGGGGCAAGAAATGGCTTGTTAACTTTAACGCCTCCAAATCGAAACTTGTCTCTATTAATCATTAGGATGACACCTTCTTACCTCCGATCAGCATGGCTGATGCTAACCTACATGAAAGTACCTCGCTGCGCCATCTCCGTCTTGCATTCTCTGACATGAAGTGGAAAGATTCTATTGTTAGGTCTGTTACTAAGAAAGTCGCTTTATTGTGTCATGTCAGACAATGTTTCTCGCTAGAATCTATCGTGCACATATATATATATATATATATATATATATATATATATATATATATATATATATATATATATATATATATATATATATATATATATATATATAATAATAAAAGAAGAAATAATTCAATACAGTACTGTATTACAGCTCCTTAGTGCGACTAGACAAGTGAAAGCCTCAAGCTCGAATCGAAACCCAAATAATTTCATGTCAGTCAGTGCTTCTCCCACTGAGCTATCTTCACTAGACAAACGAACTAGCCAAATCTAGCGTATTGTTTTCACAAGCGCAAACAAACGCCAATCATCCATAGTGCTCCAATCATTTTACTGAAGAGTTTCGCATTTAAACAGATGACCGTTGTTTTTAGAATAAGCTTGTCATTTAACAGTGCTCAATATACACAAAACATTAATGTGAAACACTTGATTCGGATAGAGAGTCGACATTTGAGAACTGCTGAAACCCTCCTTGAGGTTGAAGAAGATTTTATTGAATAAAAATGTTCAAACTATTTTTTAAAAACTTATATTGCCTGTAATTGTTATCTCTTATTTTACAGGTGGGACGGGTATCATCTAACCAAAGATTGTCTGCTATATGGTCACGTTATCGATGAATTAAACTGATTGCTCCACCAACGGTCCAAGAGGGCGCAGGTTCGAATCCTTCCGGAGAGCATTCTTTTTTTTCATGTATAAGATTTAATATTCAGGCTGGTAGAGGAAAATAAGTAAATATACAATTTAACAAATAAACGGAGCGTCTATTCAAATATGAATATCCGCTAAAAATAATGTTTAAAGTAATAAAATAGATAGAAACATTCTAATGGATAGAAACATGCTGATAGAGACGCATATAAACATATAGATAGATAGATATGAACAAACTGAGATAGATAGATAGATTTGAACAGACTGAGATAGATAGATCGATGGATAGATAGATATGAACAGACTGAGATAGATAGATAGATAGATAGATAGATATGAAAAGATCAAGATAGATAGATAGATAGATAGATAGATAGAGAGAGAGAGAGAGAGAGAGAGAGAGAGAGAGAGAGAGATATGAAGAGACCGACATAGATAGATAGATAGATCGATCAATCAAGGTCAGAAAGAGCTAACTAAATATAAACAGCGTCAGATATGAAGAAACCGAGACAGATAAATAAGAGCCGGTTGAGATAGTCATGGCTACAAAGGTCGAAGCAACTGACACAAGATAAATCAGAATAGACTGAAATATATCAGGGTAAAAAAGAAATAGCTAAATATTAAGAGATATATATGTATAGACAGATAAATCAGGATATATATATATATATATATATATATATATATATATATATGTGTGTGTGTGTGTGTGTGTGTGTGTGTGTGTGTATATATATATATTTACATATATATAAGTAATATATATATATATACCCGCGCAAAACACACACACACACACATATATATATATATATATATATATATATATACACATATTTACATATATATATATATAATATACACACATTAAAGCGCACACACACACACATATATATATTTATCTATATATGTACATATATATATATATATATATATATATATATATATATATATATATATATATATATATATATATGAGTTCGTATTTCATTTCAGATATGTGCAATTGTCTACTCAATGCACTTGTATTATTTCGAACTATTGTTCCCATCTTGGTTGATTTAGATATTTTTATAGAGACAACGTTTCGAACAATTGCCCTCTGGCCATCCACAGGTATCCTTTGTTTATTTCTGATATGGAATATATGTCGATTATTGTGTTATTTTCATTTCTGTCGTAAGTAATTGTTTAGTCGATATACCTGCATTATTTTGACCTATTGTTCTCATCTAGGATGTGATAGATGTTATTATAGACTCAACGTTTCGACCAACTACCGCCGGTCATCATTAGGTGCCCATTGTTTGGCTTATATGGGATATCTGACGATCACTGTGTTATTTTCATAATTAAATATGAAATGAATAAAATAGATAGACAAGAAATGAATATATATATATATATATATATATATATATAATAAAAAGGCTTAAACACTAATATTTCATGGTCATAATTTATTCCATTGGAATCGTAAATACGATCCAATTCATCAGACCTACAAATTCAAAAAGAAAACCGAAAAAACAACCCCGGGAATAAAAATAGAATTTAGAGAGAGTGTAAGTATGAGAGTGTGGGACGAATGTTAGAGCTAAAGAGAGGGGTAACAGACGAGAGAAGGTGGGAGATTAAACCTTAACAGAGAGAAGTTTTAGAGAGGTGAGTGGAAGAGGTTTAAGTGAGAGAAACTTATTTACGATTTCAATGGAATAAATTATGACCATGGAATATTAGTGTTTAAGCCTTTTTATTATATCCTTACTCTGTCCTGGACATTGAGTTCTACTTGGATTCTATCCTCTTGGAATTTTTTATAAAAAAATATACATGTATGTGTATGCACCTATGTATATATATTTTGCATATGTATGTGTATATTTACCACTAATATTAGCTATATATATATATATATATATATATATATATATATATATATATATATATTATAATGAATCATTCATACAAAAAGTAGATTAGTAAAGTTAATTATATAAAATGGCGAAATCACTTTGCAAACAAAATTTTAAAGTTGCATTAACCTACGACCCACTCGATGAATGTTATGATCCTTGTTTTTAATAACTACAAGCTGTATAAGGTCTTTTTTTTTAATCTGCTAGTACTTTCAATTCTACATACAGTCAACCTCAGGCATTGAAATTATTTGTAAAATCCAGGTAGCATCAGAGACGAAAGATTAAATGCGACTCAAAATATGTTTTTTTGTTGAAATATGTTATTGTTAACGGATAAGAACTTTTGGAGCGTGCAGTCGCAACGCTAAAGTTGAATTTTTTTGAAAATTTAAGAGAGTGCGTTTTTTACTAATATGGTAATTTGAGATTTTTTTGTTGTAGGAGTTTATCAGTCAATGTGGCATGAACTAAATTGTTCAATAAATAGAGTAATGTCGCAGCTGTTATCCCGAAAATTTTTCACGTCGGATCAGTTCTTTTAAATCAAATATGTGTTTGCAGTTCAATTTATATTAAAATGAATCATTCATACAAAAAGTAGATTAGTAAAGTTAATGATATAAAATGGCAAAAACTCTTCGCAAACAAAATTTAAATATATGTTTAGTGGTACAAAACTTTATGACTGCCAAAGAAATTTAAATGGTAATTAGTTGGAGGCTTAATTCAAAGTCCATCTGTTTACATAGAGAAGGCTTTAATGCTAGAATATAGATGGCGTCCAACACTTTTAGCTGGTAATTAGAGAGGGACCTGCTAAGAATGGTAAAAATGTCACCACTAAAACTAACAACACACTTTTTCTCTCTCTCTCTCCCCCCAATACACTTTGTCCATTATTCTTTTTTATATAATTTACTTTATTTACCTCGATTTAGCTCTGTTGAGCGAGGTACGAAACCGGTCAGCTAGTCCGTTTTTTCATTTCATTTTTACTTTTTATTATCATCATGAGTGGTAATAATAAAATTAATTTTTGTCTGTTTATGGCAGTCATATATATATATATATATATATATATATATATATATATATATATACAGTATGCAATGGATTAAATTGTCGCCATTTTATATTTTTAATTTCGCGCATGCGCGTTGTTTGTTCTTGATTAAGTCAACTACACAGTATAATAGAGTCAGTTGAGTACCATCGGTGAGAAATAGCGCGTTCTGACGCAATTCACTCTGTCAGAAATATGGAAAAAGCATGCTGTACTGTTTGGCATTCGCGCCGGAAACTCTAATACGAACATTTTAGAGTGTTTGTGTATCAATCTGAGGACAGTGCAGAGGATTCGAAAAGAGATGGATCATATATCCAGTCAATATTATGGTGTTTGGAGTGATGGCGACGATATGCCTCTATTCATCTTCCTATAACGCCTGGAGGTCTCGATCAAGTGCATTGAGGAGGTAATGCTTCCCTAGGTAAAAATTGGAGTGGGAGTCTTTTGGAAGACACTATGTCTGCAAACAGGACTCTGCACCATGCCACACAAGCAGGAGAAGAAGGAGAACCCATTCATGGCTGGCTATAGTGAAGAAAACGGCGACTTAACTCGTCAAACCAAGCGACAGCGCGTCGCGTGTATCTTACGACGGAAAAGAACATTACTTACCAAAAAAATAAAATAAAAAAATAAAAAAAAAGTGGGGGCACGTATTCTGCATGACATGCTGAAGACGGAATATTTAGATTAAAAACAAGTCCGTTGCAGGAGTCTCTATAAAAGTATTTTGTTATGCAAAATATTTGGCGTCTTCTCCCAGTTGTCGACGAATGAAAAAAATGGCCGGCGGATAAAAAAAGTTAGTGTTCTCAAATCGGGAGGGAAAATTGATGTATTTTGGCCACCGCATTTGTCGTCGAGTGTCTAACTGGTTACGTGCATTGGGATTTGTGAGATTGTACCTGCGAATCGAGTTTCTGGCATTTCTTTCTGCCCCCGATATTCGAGTCTGAACTTACAGTGATTTATTCTCTGCGTCGTGGAATTAATCTGTGACAAACATTTCCTTTGCTTTCAGAACGCTTACACTGTTAAACAATTTCTATAACCATATCACTCCTTAAATCTGGCCACCTAACTCCCCACACTGCAACCCCCTTGATTATTATGCGTGGGGCACAGTTGAGCGAGAGAACAACAAAACTCCTTGTAACACCAAAGATGAATTGAAGGCAAAAATTATGGCAGCATTCAACAACTCAAATATAAAACTGGATATTGAAGTCAGCAACCAGCGTCGCTTTTATGCTGAACGCAATCGTTAGGTCATGACGATTGTGTTTAGCATGAAACAGACTTCACTCCAATGTCCACACACACACACACACACACACACACACACACACACACACACACACACACACACACACACACACACACACACACACACACACACACATATATATATATATATATATATATATATATATAGAGAGAGAGAGAGAGAGAGAGAGGGATTTTCGCTTGATGATGAAACGGGGCTTGATACTTTAATTCAATTTAATATCAATAATTAAATTTAGTTTTTTGCTCTTGTTTTTGAAACATGAGAACTCTTATGTAGCGAAGGAATCATATATATATATTTTTAAAAATAATTATAATTTAAGCTCTACTGCTGTATGGAGCACTATTTAAAAAAAAAAAAAACAAAAATACTAAAGAATTCCGGATTATTTGCCTAACGTGTTCTTTCCTATTTTTCTACATATTTGCACGCGCAAACACACACACACACACACACACACACACACACACACACACACACACACACACACACATATATATATATATTTACACACACATATATGTATATGCACGCACACACACACACACACACACACACACACACACACACACACACACACACATATATATATATATATATATATATATATATATATATATCAAATCCGTAAGAGATGGATATATAAATAGAGCGCAATATATAGTATACAGAGCCATATAAAACAAATTGAAATAAATTATAATTTATAACCGTGTTTTCGATGATGCATTAAATTTTTCCTTTATATATATATATATATATATATATATATATATATATATATATATATATATATATATGATATATAAAAAGGCTCAAACAATAATATTCCATGGTTATAATTTATTACATTGGAATCGTAATCACGATCTAAATCATCAGAACTAAAAATTCAAAAAGAAAGTGGAAAAGATAATCCCGGGAATAAAAAACAAAATTCTAGTGAGAGTGTATGTGTGGGAGTGGGAAATAAGTGTGAGAGGGAAATGTATGAAAGTTCTAAAGGGAGAGGGGTAATAGAAGAACAGGAAGGCCTAAAGGTAAAGGAGGGGGGATTGAAATTTAACAGAGAAGTTTTAAAGAGAGGAGTTAAATAACGGTTTAAATGAGTGAGATACAGATAAATAGGAATTATTTTCCGATGCATATATATATATATATATATATATATATATATATATATA